CACGGAGCTTCAGTCGGAGATGAAGCAGCCTGGTTAGCACTAGGCCACCTGAACTGTTCGCTGAAGTATTCTGCCCATCGATCGAGTCGCTGATCCCTATTGTGAATAACTCGTCCCCTCTTATCGCAGACTGTTTCACTAACTGCCGTTCGCCGACCTCCAGTATTGCGTATCGGTTGGAACAGTCCAAATTCCATGATGCAGCTGCGATTTCCATTTCACTAGCTATTGTTGCCCACCAGCTCTCGTGGTCTTTCTTGAGCCGGCGTTGTAGCTGCCGCCTAACTCTATTTTCATCATGACAGGTCGGGACTTGCCGTTTTTGCTCCATCAGGGCTACTGAGTCCTGAGAAATCCAATGTCCCCGACGAGTTTGAGGCTGAGACCCACAAGCAACATTCGCTGCGGAATGCATTGCTCACCTAATCTAATCCCATTGTTCGTCTACATCACCTACATCACTAGCTCTGACGCATAGAGTGAATAAACTGCTGGAGCAGATAGTCGTTGATGAGCTATCCGAGCTTGCTGGTTTTGTCGCCAACCAGTCAGTCGGACAGTGAACTACATCAGAACTAATGCGAGGTCAGACTCAACGCAGGTGGTCCAGTAGGACCTGCGAGTTTGCACTGAGCCACGCCAACGGTAACTTACTGCTATGTGGTCGATTTGAGTTGACGTACCAGTTGAACTGGATTGCTGCGTTGCGGTCCGTAGAGAGCTGCGTCGGAGGATGGAGCGAAAACGACAAATCCNCCACCGCGGGATAAGTTTGATCCCGATCGTCACCAAAGTGCTAGATTCGGTTATACTTCGACGTCTCATGCCTTTGAGAGAGACCAACATCCGTGAACAGCAAGACGGATTCCGGCCTGGCCGTGGATGCATTGGTCACAATTTTACATTGCGTCAGATCCTTGAGCTGCGTCATACTCACCGTCGGCCAACAATCGTAGTGTTCCTTGACCTTATGGGAGCCAGCGACTCAGTTGAACGCGAAGCTCTGATCTGCTGCCTTCTTCGAAAAGGAATGCCCCAGAAGTACGTTAACCTACTGAGGTCACTGTACTCTGAGACCTCCGGTCGTTTAAGGGTCTACAACGAACTAAGTAGGCTGTTCGTCACCAGCAACGGCTTTCGTCAAGGGTACCCTCTTTTGCCGTTCCTGTTCAATTTCCTCGTAGACGAAATACTGGGAGCGCACTAAGAGGACTCCAAAACGTGGGTATTGAATGCGAAGCTGGAGAAAAGCTGTGCGATTTAGAGTGCGTGGATGACATCGTCTGTCTGTACGAATGTATGGAGGATGCGCAAAGTGCACTTGATAGATTAACAAGTGCGGTAGGCACATTCGGTATATGCTTTGCACTTTCAAAGTGCAAATTGATGCTGCAGGATTGGGATTCGTCTACTCCCACTCTGACACTAAATGGCCAGGATTTAGTTGTGATGGCTTACTTTTCCTACTTAGGTAGTTGCGTGACCAATGACGGTAGTGCAGCAAAGGAGATAACCGCCCGCATTTCCAAGGCTCGAGCAGCATACGCAGGACTGCAACACCTTTGGCGTATACGTGACGTTTCACTGACGTTGAAAGGTCGTGTTTATTGTGCCACCGTTCGTTCAGTTCTGCCTTATGGTTGTGAAAGCTTGAATTTGCGAGTAGAAAATATACGTCGATTAGAAGTTTTCCATTATCGGTGTTTACGCAGTTTAACCCACGTTAGATGGAGCGAACGGGTTAGTAACGTGGAGGTAGGCCGTGGTGTGTTTGGGAGTCTGTCAGGTATAAACCTGTTAGCATACCGAATTCAGATTACCAGGCTTCGCTGGCTAGGGCACGTATTGCGTGTGTCCAGCCATTGTCTGCCGCACCGCGGTTTATTCGCTGTAGCTAATCCGGACTAGAGGAAACCACGTTAGGGGTCAACAGATGACGTGGAGACGAGGCATGAAGAAATGCACAGAGCCATTAAGTAGAGTAGGTGTCTCTCGCCTTCCAGGTTGGGGTCCGAAAGACTTCATATCTGGTTGATTGGAGACATTGAAGGATATGACAGCGGACCGGCAGCAGTGGCGTTCTTGTTGTCGTTTCTTACCTCGTCAGAATGCTTGAAAAGGTAT